TCACTCTCTCACAGGTGTACTCACTCACAGACACACTCAAACACACACACACACACACACACACACACACACACACACACACACACACACACACACACACACACACACACACGACATACCGTGCAGGTGAAGGTGGGCATATGGGATGGTCCAGCATGGTCGCCCCACTGGGTGTCGACGGCGTGCCCAGTCTTGGTGGAGAACTCGTTGAGGAGAGCGCGTGCGTTGGCCATGACGAGCGGTGGATGGGGGGGGGGGGAGGAGGCGATAGCAGGAAAGGCGGTGTGTCGGATGCGGAGAGGGAAAGGGGTTGAGTGTATGTCGACGGTTCACTTGACTGCTTGGCTGGACTGCTTGAGAGGGACGGCGAGCTTGGGGAAAATGAACAAGCGCAGCGAAGACATCTCTCCCCACTCCCAACACCAACGCCAGCGGCAGGGTGGCGCTGACACAACAACTTGACGACAAGTCATTCCGTTGTCAACAAAATTCGTCGTCGAGTTGTGGTTGTGGTCGTGTTGTTGTTGTGGTCGTCGTGTTGTGTGAGTGGTCGTCGAGTTGTGCGTGTTGTGTGTGTATGTGTTTTTCTGTGGTGTGTTGTGTGTATCTGTGGTGTTGCTTGCGTGTGCAGGGCGCTCACACTCTTGCGCTTGTGCGGTCGTGCAATGTGTTTACCATCATCTCACAGCTCGTTGCTTACAAAAATGCCGAGTTCTGTTGTGCTTGACTCATACTTGACTTGCGCGCGTGTATGCGAGTGGCGTTTACTTCCCTCCTTCCACTCACTGTTCCGGCCACCACTTTGGCCAGTGTAACGACACGGGGCACATGTCACCAGGCTCATCACCATCCTGTGGGACAACAGCCAGCTGTGCGCCTTTTGCGGGCTCAAGACGAATCATCGCCAGCGCATGCACACCAGCCTGGTGGTGGTGGTGGTGGTGGTGGTGGTTGGGGTGAGCAGGAAAGCGTGGATGGAATAGAGGAAAAAGGCACACAGACACACACAGACACATACAGACACACACAGACACACACACACACACACACAGACACACACAGACACACACACACACACACACACACACAGACGCAGACACACACATATGCATGCATGCACCACAGACCTGTGATCTGACATCGCCCACTGCCTTTCCAGTCTCTGTGTTGATGACCTTGCTCCCTGGCGCAACCCTGGCAACGGACAGAACGAAGAAAGAAGTAAGAAGGCTGTCGTCGTACGTGGTGTGAGACACACATGTGCATACGATCAGACACACGGAGACATGAAAGACACACACACACACACAGACAGACAGACACAGACACAGACAGACAGACACAGACACAGACAGACAGACAGACAGACAGACAGACACTCACACACACACACACACACACACACACACACACACACACACATACACACACACAGACACACACAATACAAGTGCGCACGTGGTTGGCGCGTGGAGGGTGATGGGCATGAGGCGTTTCCGCGTCATGCCCATGTGGTGCGTGCGCGCCGTCAGCTCCTGCCCAATGTAGCACCCTTTTGTCCATGATACTGCCATGGCAGAATACCACTCCGTGAGGAATGAATGGCTGTGTGCACTCGTGCGTCTTGTCTGAAACGATGGGAATACGTCACAAACACAAATACCCACACAGACCCACCCGCAGACCCACCCACAGCCCAAAGTCACCCCCCCCCACACCACAAGCGCACATCAGACTGCTGGTGTTCGTGCGGATGCCGCCACCAACCTCCGTGGAGATAGTCGAGGTTGCACTGCAGAGGAAGCGACTTCTTTGGCTGGTGGTCGACAGGGCCCTCACCTGAAACACGATTCGAGGGCGCACCCGTGCACATGTGTGAGTGGAAGATAGGCGCAGCACGCACATAGGGAAAGCACGCACATGCATGAACACACACACGCACAAGCAAACAAACAAACAAACAAACAAACAAACAAACAAACAAACACGCGCACGCATGCACGCGCGCGCTGTAAAGGTACTGACCGAACCCCATTGAGATGCGAAGCTGCTGATACGTGTGCTCATCGTGGGCAGCGTTGTCGTCGCTGTCGCTGTCGGTAGAAGGCCGTGTACACACGCCACGCCACAGGCTGCGGCAGTACGGTTCTCTGAATTGCAGGAAGAAGGTGGCGGCGATGATTTGGACAGCGCGTGTATGGGAATGGGTCCAAGTGTCAATCATAGCCAACATAGTGTGTTGCCGTGTGTGCATGTGTGTGTGTGTTTGTGTGCAGGCAATCATGTGTTCATGCCTGCAGGCTTACGTCTGGTGTATCCTCGGGTCTGGCTGGAAGTTGAGCACGTCAAAGTTAGCGGTGAGCTGCTTTAGGCTGTTCTCATCGACATTCATCCCAACAACACTGTCGACGGTATCCGACACGTCCCTGAACTCCACCTGTAATTGAGTATGGTGGACGAGGCGGACGAGGCGGGGCCGGGAGCATGAAGTGAGCCCATGGCGGAGATTCGACGCAGCAGCGTTCACACGCAGAGTGACGCAAGAACACGTGCACACACACATGCATGTATGTACATATGCACACCCCTGACACACATTCACAAATACATATATACACACGTGTACACACACACACACACACACACACACACACACATGCACACACACTTGGGAACGAAGGCGAAAGCGGGTAAAGTAGTCGGCGACGCTGCGGATGAGTGGACGTGGAAGGTCCAGATAAAACCGCTCTGGGGAGATGCGATGTACAAAAGCATCCACAAGGACCCGACCTTTCGGGTTCAAGAGCATTGAGAATCGCACGTCCTTGTCCTCCATCTCCACCACGTCATTCGTCAGCATCCCCTGCAGGAACTCGGCACCGTCGGCACCATCCACTTGCAGCACGCTGCGGCTGTCGCCAAGCGCCACCACCTGCGCCTCACTCGCATTCACAGACAACCATCGCTGCTGGCGCTGTTTGGCGCCGGCAGTCGCCGCCACACTCAGCGAGCGCCAGCACCCAAATAGTTTGCGAGTACCAGCACCAGCGCCAGCGCCAGCGCCAAGACGGGCGACAACAGCACTCCTCACATGTCTGCTGCTGCTGGTGCACCTCGCAGCCACTCTCGTCATCGTCATCATCTCTTTGGTTGTTCGTTTTCTCCTCGTCCTGCTGACTCAGCAGTTGTCGATAATTATATGAAATCTTCTTCAAATCCTCCCAACCTTCATTTGGAGCGGCGAAGACCAAGCAGACAGCAGAAGACGCGAGCACAAGAAGGCAAACCACCTCCAACCACCAACCACAACCACAACCACAACCACAAGCCCATATTATCATCCGCATCATCATCCTCCTCGTTTTTGTACCGTGAAGAAAGAGACCACAAGCAGTGTATCAAGGCAACCAGCACCATGTCTCTTCCCGTGATTGTTGTGACCATCTTCTTCGCCGTTGTGGCGTTGTTTGGCTTCTTCATTGCAGGACGCAACAGCAAAGACAGAGGGTGCGTGCATTTGCGTTTGGCGTGGTGTGAGCGCCCACAGCGACCACGATATGTGTATGCGTGTGCGTGCGTGTGTGTGTGTGTGTGGAAAGAAGGAAGATGTGGCTATGTTGCTTTGGGTGCAAGCATATGCATGATGTGTGAACGTGTGTGAACGTGTGTGTGTGTGTTTGTTTGTTTGTGCGGAAGCACGTGTGCAGGTGATACACGCGTGCATGTGTACACACGGGTGTGCGTTTGCGCACGTGGTTGCTGGTGAGTGTGACTTGATCACGCGTGTGATCATGCATGAGCTGCCACGCTGATATCTCACCCACATTGCCATATTTCCATCCTTGGACTGCTTTCCTCCTCTGCAGGCTTGTTCAGACCATGTGGGTGACAACAGCGTTGTGCTTGTGGCTGTTCTGGCTCTGTGCATACCTTTCGCAAATCAACCCGCTCGTCGCACCGTCGCTGAAGGCAAAGGACGTCTGTGTCAACGACGGCGCCGACGTCATCTGCTGAATGCAACGAATGTAACACCAACAACCACCATCAACAACCACCATCAACGACCACCTTCAAGGACCAGCCATCCACCCATCAACGATCCCGATGATGTCGCTGTCATTCCATGGACCATTCCGTGCTGAAGTACACACAAGTTGACCTTCGTTTCCTCCGACCACACCCCACTTCCTGTTAATTTGACCCCTCCCCCGCGTCTGCTTGTCACCGCTTCTCCACCTTACTGCGACCTTGTTCATCTTGAATGGTTTTAGGCATTTTGTGTGTGTGTGTGTGTGTGTGTGTGTGTGTGTGTGTGTGTGTGTGTGTGTGTGTGTGTGTGTGTGTGTGTGTGTGTGTGTCGAGAGAGCGCGCGCGCGTGTGTGTGTCGTGTTTCGTGCACTTGTGTGTGTGTGTGTGTGTGTGTCTTGTGAGCCCTTACTTGTCTCCACTTCATTCTGTTCCCTCGTGAGCGTGTTGGCGTGTTGCTTTTCAACCGCCGTGCCCAGATTGATGTCGTTGCTGTCGGCAGCATGCTCAGGACGCTGCTGGCTCGTGTTTGTGCTGTTGCTTGCTGTTCGTGTTCATGTCACGTTGCGCTTGCTGTTGCTGCTGTAATACACAACTTCCTTTGCAACTCACAGATGGATTTAGTGGAAGGGTGTGTGTGTGTGTGTGTGTGTGCTTTTCAAATCATCTCTGTATCCCTAGTCCCTGATCAGCTGAGCACAACAACATGCCATCAGATTAATTGATGAGCGGTCTACTTTACACCCTCGAGTCTACGTTGTGTAAGTCATGTCATGTAAGGACTGATAAGCAAATCACCACAAAAAGTATGGATGGGTGCGTGTGTATGTGTGTATCTGTATGTGTGTGGAGGTGTGTGTTCGCAAGAGCAATGTGTGTTTCGGTTAAAACACGAGAGACAGCACCCATCGGAAACACCAGAGCAACAGCGCAACGCCCACCGCGACTGCGATTGTTTGTGTGCATGTGTGTGTGTTGTGGTGGGGGATACAGAGTGGTGAGGACGGCGCAATGAATACAATATCCACAGCGTGAAAAGCAAGTACGAAATGCGAAAGCAGACACACACACACAGACAAAGGCACGGACACACACACACACACAGACACAAACACAGACACACATATGCACACGTTAAAACACATGTGCACACATAAACAAACACACAAAAACACACAAGCAAGCAAACAACCATAGCAAGCAAACAGCACATCATCACGGCGCACCAATTAGGACGGCTGCTGGGGTGCGGTAGGCCTCTGGAAGTCGTCGCAACAAAGGCTGTGGCAGATACATGAGCACGCGGACCTGCGCCACCGCAGCAGCCTTTGCCTCCTCACCACCATCACCATCACCATCACCATCGCCACCATCCCGCTTCGTTGCATCGAGGATTGCGTCAACGCGCTGTTGCGATTCGCGCATGGACGTCAGGAACTTATCGGTCGAGTCTTTCATCTGTTTAACCTGCCGTGTGAACACGTGCGGATGTGTGTATGTGTGTGCGTATGTGTGTGTGAATGTGAGTGTGTGTGAATGTGAATGTGAGTGTACGCGTGCGAGTGAGTGAGTATGTATGTATGTCTATGTGTGTGTGAATGTGTTTGTGCCTGTTGCTTGTTGGCTCGAGATACAACAGACAGAGACCGGTACCTGCTGGCTGAGCTGCTTGAGGGTTTCGGCGTTCTCATCCAAGGTTGCCTTGAGCGAGTCGTGCAGCGAATCAACGTGCTGTGTGGAGCAATTAAAAAGGCACGAGGTGGTGCAGATGAGACAGTACACGTGGATGCAATTGGCAATGGGAGATGCACACGTGTGCACACGCCACAGCAGGGGCAACTCCACGGGCTCCAAAGGTTGGGTGTCTCCCAGAAGAACAGAGGCAGACGCAAATGCATTAACGCACATACACAGACAAACAAACAAACAAACAAACAAACAAACAAAACACACAAACAAACAAAACACAAACAAACAAACAAAAAAAAAAACAAAAAAAAAAAAACCAACCACACGAACAAGCATTCCTTGGGCGCACCTGCTTGAGCTGCTTCCTGGACTTTTCCAGGCGCTTCTCCACGCGGTCAAACTCCGGCATGTGCAGCTGAAACTGATCCTCAACCTGTTCGTGGTGGTGTCATGATGGTGGTGGGGGTCATTGCGTATGAAATTAGTGTGGGTGATTGATTGACTGTCAACGCACGGTATGTCACGTCACATCACGCCATCACAACTTGTGGTGGATACGCACGTGGGATTGGAGATCGCGAATGCACACCACGAGCTTGTGCACATCCTCGTTCCGTTGCTGTTCGAGGTGGTGGTGATGGTGATGGGGGTGGGGTGGTGTCGGTGTTTTGCGGCGAGAATGAGGTGGCGTTCATGATATGACGGTCAAAAACGAAGCACAACACGAACACACACGAACACACACACACACACACACACACACACACACACACACACACACACACACACACACACACACACACAGAGACACACACACACACAGACAGGTAGACAGACAAACACACAGACACAGACCCATGCACAATACAGACGCACACACCCACGCACAAACACGCGCGTCACCTGAATTTTTGTCTCGATCACGTCGACCTGACCAAGGAGAAACTGCGCATCCAACTGCAGCTGCTCAAGCGCAACATCCTTTTCGCTGCCTGTCGTGTTGTTGTTGTTGTTGTTGTTTGAGGGAGGGGTTTGCACAGCGGCGAGGAGGCAAGGAGCATACGCGCATTACAAAGGTGGATATTGTGAGGACTGCACAGATAGACACGCACACACACACGCAGATACACACAGACACAAACACATCGACACAGACACAAAAAGACATTGCGTGCCCACCGAGGGAGGATGCTGGGGACGCGGTCTCTGCGCGCATCTGCTGCTGCTGCCGCTCCGTCGCTGTTTTGCTGCGGCGGCCAAACCCTAGGGCCTGGCGATGATGATGGTGATGGTGATGATGGTGGTGGTCAAGGAGGAGAGTTCGTGACGATGTATGCAGTGATGGTGTGCATACGAGGCACAATTCAATACAGAAACACAGACACATACATACATACATACATACATACATACATACATACATACATACATACATACATACGTACGTACATACATACATACATACATACATACATACATACATACATACATACATACATACACATTCATACATACATACACACACAGACACAGACACACAGACACAGACACACCTTGCCCGTGGAGGTCATGCGATCGCGAATGGCTCTTTTGACTTCACCGCTGCTCTGTGATGTCCATTTGAGGCCTGCGCTCACACTCGCGGGAAGTCGATGTCTCTTCTTTTCCTTCGCTGGCGGCTTGAGTGTGTCATGTGATGCCTGCACGCGACCACCGCGGTCCTTCAACTCATCACCATCGTGCTGCTGCTGCTGCTGCTGCTGTTCCATGACAGGGGCAAGCCGACCGCCCACGAACCCACCGCCACCATCCCTCTGCTGCTGCTGCTCCTGGCGGTGGTGTCGTTGCACCACCTCATCATCACTTACATATCGGTGTGGCTCTTTCTGGTGTTGTCGCCTCAGCCCGCCATGCAAACCATCATCACCACGGCCACCATCACGAAACCCACGACCGTGCACGGGCTCAAACACGGTGCCACCACTGCCCCTACCCTTTCGAGGGCGCACCCCTGCATCTTCTCCTTCTTGCTCCACCACCACCTCCACACCATCATCGGTTGCGGTGCGCTGCCTGCCTCTCGTGCCCGTTGTCGACGATGTCGACGATGATGTGGACGGTTTGACATATGTAAAGTCGCCATATGCAGGCTCACTTCCCTCCACCCACGACTCCACTCGCCCCCGCCGCAACTGCTGCTGCTGCTGCTGATCGAATTGCGCTTGCTCTACCAGCTCACCCATTCGCCACCGCTGCTGCTGCTGCTGCTGTTGTTGTTGTTGCTGCTGTTGCTGCTGCTGTGCATGGCGTGATGAGGGCGTGAATGGATCGGCGCTGGAGCGGCGGGGTCGTCGGACGTCGCGTCCACCACTCTGTTGCGGCTCCTGCTCTCCACGTGTGTCAATGTCTTGCGTCATGTGGGCGTGACGTGGATGCGCGTCGTCGCGCGTGAGAGAGCGGCTTGGCGACACGGATCGCGCTGCTGCCTCCGCGCCAACATCAAGACGGCGGCCGTGTGCACCAAGTTGTCGACCACCACCATCATCATCAATGTCATCGTAATCCCCGCCATTCGCTATCAAGATATCGTCGCGGCTGCCCCTCTGCCGGTGTCTGTGTCGCCCTGTCCTCCCGTCCTCATCCTCACCACCACCACCATCCTCACCACCACCCATCCCACCATGCGTGGGCCCTTCATCGCCATCACCATCGCCATCACCATGATTGTCACCACGGCGACCACCACCCGTGAAAAATGTACGCGCGCGGTCAAACACGTATGTCGATATGGCCTTCTTGCCGCCACCATCCTTGCCATCACGGCTACCCTTCGCATCACCCCCACCCCCACCCCCACCCCCAGCAGCAGCAGCGCCACCGCTGGTGCTGCTGTTGCTGGGGCCGCCAGCCAGGCGGTGCAGTGCTGATTGCGATCGCGTTGGGCGTGTGCTGCCGCGACGTGCACCACCGCCGTCGCCATCGCCACCTTGCCGCCCGCGAAACGATGTCGACACGCGTCGATATGGCGACGAGTGCGGAAGAGAGGTGGAAGCGTGCAGTGCCGTGCCCGCTACTCCCGAGCCGTCATCATGCGTGGGTGACGCTGACCGGTTGTGGCTCCGACTAACTCGCGTTGGGCGGGCGGTTGCCTGTGCTCCCTGCTGGCCTGACAGCGTCGGCGTCGGCTTGCTGATGGCAGGCGTGTGGGGTGGCGTGGCAGCCCCTGCCGTGCGCACGTGTGCGCCTCTCGCTGCAGCCGAGGGCGGCAGCGGTGTTGCCGGTGCTGTTGCCGTTGTGCCAGATGGTGGCGCTGTGTCTGCGTACGTGGATGACGAAGACGAGGTGGACTGCGGTGGGCGCGGTGACGCCGATTGGTGGCGGCGGAGGCGGCTACCTGGGGACGGCAGCAAGTCCACGGCGCGGGGTGCTGCTCCGCCCGTCATCACCGTTGGTGACACGGACAGCTCGCGCTGTTGGCGGTGGGCGTGGCTAGTGGACGGAAAGTCCTCCTCGCTCACAGACAGCGCAACACCGCCACCACGCCTCCCTGCATCGCCCGTTCCCGTTCCTGCTGTTCCTGCGCCTGTTGCTGCTGTTGCCAGCGCACTGGTGGAGGGCACACGTGAGGTTGCATTGTCGCTCGTGCTTGAGACGGATGGGGAGCGGGACCCCTTGCTTGACGCCGCGTCCGCTGCTGGTGCTGCTGGTGCTGCCAGCGCTGCTGCTGTTGACGAGGGCTTGCCACTTCGCCGCGTGGTCGATGTCAATGACGTGGAGGGCGATGATGAGCCCTGTCATGTTGGGGGACGGTGGGACGGTGGTGTGAGTGAGTGAGTGAGTGAGACGGGCACGTGCCCACGGTAGAGTGTCAAGTGTGCATTCCTCCAACCTTCGGGGTGTCCTTTGTTGCGTGTTCATGAAGTCGGCTGAAGGGCTTCATTCTGGAAAACCACACACACACACACACACACACAGGCACGCACACGCACACACACACACACAGACACAGACACACATACACACAGACACACAGACACGCACACACACACACACACACACACACACACACACACACACACACACACACACACACAATTACACAAGCCAGCGCGTAAGCGATTAGCAAAAGTGATGTGGCAGACGTGGACGCAAAGACAACGTGAAGAACAACGGCATCATGAATACCAAGGACCACAAACACATAGAATGAACAGGGGCGTCTAGTTCGACCAATGTGCGTAATCACTCCACTTACAGGATCCGCGCTGGTGTTGGTTGAGGCGGAGATTGCAAACACAGTTGGGCAGCATGTGGCAGGGCGTTGTACGTGTACATGTGCATGTGTGTACGTTGTGGGTGAGGGTGAGGGAGAGAGAGAGTGTGCATGTGTGTATGTGTGTGTAAGTGTGTGTGTATGTGTGTAAATGTGAGACAAAACCGTTTGCCATCACACACACGCACGCACACACACAGACACACAGACACACAGACATGAGGGCATCACTGCCTGCACGTACAGAGCGGTTTCTTTGTTGGTTTCGGTTCGTTGGCGATGACGCGCCGTCGCTCCTCCCGCACTTCCTGTTCCATGTGCACACACACATACATACAGACAGTGAAGACGCATGAGACATACGAGTGCGTGTGCGTGTGTGTGTGTGTGTGTGCGCGTGCGCGTGCGCGTGCGTGCGTGTGTATATGCCTAGAAGATGCATGAGTAAAGCAGCCACGCAACACCAGCGATGCTTTGCACCAGCATTGGTGGGCAGCGTCACCACCCACGTGCAGTCGACTGTTGAGATCGGAGACTTGTTTCTTGCAGCGAACAAGCTGCTTGTGCTTTTGCTTCAGCTCTTTCTGAGTTGCACTGCACACGCACATGCCAAAGAAGTGACAGCATGAGTGACCTCGATGGTACCAATCAATCACTGAGAAGCTGTCATCACAGAATGTGTCCGTCACCACACACAGCCAGCCAGCCAGCCAGCTAGACAGACAGAGAGTCAGACATTCACATGCACAATGTGCACATGTGTGACGTACTCTGGGTTGCGGTTGAGTTGCACCCATTCGCGCTCAACCTTGACGAGTTTCTCCTGCTTCTCTTCCTTGTCCTGTCTGTGGGCGATGTCGTGGGAGTGGTGATAGGATGTGGAAAGGAAAGGGGTGAGAGTGGAAAGGACAGGAGGTTGAGCACGAGAGGCAACACGAGATGATCATGGGAAGAGTGGGAAGTTGCCCATGAGGAAGTGTGCCCACGCAGGCAGATGACACGACGAAACAAGTGAGCACTCTGATGCAACACACACACACACCACACACGCAAACACATACACACACACACAGTCACACGCACACACACACACACACAATCACACGCCCACAAACACACTTGAGCTTGTTGGTTTCGACGCGAATGCTGCGAAGTTTGTCGGCCATTTCGCTGTCCTCCAATGCATCCAGATCATAATCGTAATCATCATCATCGTCATCGTCATCATCATCATCATCATCATCATCATCATCGAAGCTCTCATCATCCTCATCGTCTTCCTCTTCCTCAGACACGTCGTACTCGTCACCATCACTATCACCATCACTATCACCATCATCTTCGTTACGTTGACCACTGTCACCACCACCACCGCCGCCGCGTTTCTCCTTTCCTGCCACCCGCTGGTCCTCCCAGCCAGAGCCTTCGCTGTCCGTGTCATACCCGGTCTTTGAGCCGTCCTTCTTTCGATAGTGGCGCACGTGTGCAATGCTGAGTCGTGAAATGCCCTTGCTGCGCCTGTGTTTGCTCTTCTTGCCGCCACGACCACCGCCATCATGTCCTCCGTCAGTGCCACCAGCAGCGCTGCCACCGCGTTGCGTTTGCTCCACGTCAGCCGCACCCCGCTCGCTTGCACCGCGGCTGCCTGGCAGGGTCTGGTGCCGTGTGCGCTCCAGCCGGCGTTGCTCCTGCTGTGAACGCGAGCGACTGCCACTCCTGTGGGGACTGTCGATGACAACTGCGTCCACGTCTTCGTCGTACCGCGCCTTTGTTGCGTGGCTGGACCGGCCCCTCGTCCTGCTTCGGCCGCTGCGCTGGGGCTGCTGGCTGCCACGCACGCCCATCTCGCTGTCATCCTCATCGTGCGTGCGCCACTCGTCGTCACCATCATCACCATCGCCGACATCGCTGGCTGCCGACGGCGCATCGGCCCCGTCCTTGGCGTCGCCCTTCCGCTTCCATCGGTTCAACAGGTTGCCTGGCGTGTTCACCAGCTGTTGCAGCATCTTCTTGCGTTTGCGGTGCACTGCGTCCAGGTCGGCGTGCGACCTTGACCGGGGCATGCCCTCCTCGTCCTCGTCCTCCTCCACCATCGCAGAGGAACGGGTTGCACCCACCGCGGCACGGCCGCTGCCGCTGCTGCCGTCGTAGCCGCGCGCGTGTTCATTACGGTATTGGCCGTGCCGCGACCCCGGTGGAGGCGAGACGCTGCTGGGCCGGCGGTGTGGTCCGCGTGGGTGCGGGTCCGCTTGCGCAAAGCGGTGATGGTCGTTGTGGTGGCCGCCCTGCTGCTCCTGCTGTGACATGGCGGCTCCCATGTCGCGGCGTGCTGGGGAGTGACCGGTTGGTCGATACCCGCGTCCAGTTACAGAACTCTGGGTGCGGGATGGTGTTGTTGTCGCTGATGTTGACGCGGATGTTGGCGGGGATGTTGTTATTGGGGAGTGCGGCTTTGGCTTGCGAAGGTTCGTCCCCGGGAACGAGAAGGGCACGCGGAAGTCAGACAGGGTTTGTCGTTTCTTCTTTCCGCTCACATTTGCTGCTGTCGGCGTTGGCGAGGTCGCACCAAGTGATGAGTTCGGCGTAGTTGTGCCTCTGCTTCGGCCCGCTGTCCTGGGGCTGGGGCTCGCAGCCTCTGACGGTGATCGCCCGCTCAGGTGTTGTGTTACCGACGATGATGTGCGATCCCTTGTGCGTGGCGCGTGCACAGATGTGCTTGTTGGCTGCGGCGTGGTGAATCGTACCCGCGAAACAGAGGCCGCCTGTTCATTGGGCAACTGCTGTCCGCCACCATGGTGAGGGTTGTCCTCCACCTGCAGCGACATGCGCGCATGCCTTTGTTCTTGCAGGGGTTGGCTGCTGCCACCGCCAACCCCGCCAGTGCGCGGCATCGCCCGTCGCAGCGAAGGAACAAAGATCTCACGGTCCACTGCAATGAAGATCAGGCCAGCATGAGAGGAGGCGCAGGTGCAGGTCGTTATGTGAATGAACACACAAGAACACAAGAAGAAGGTGGTGGCAGATGTGCACGTCTTCTGCTCTTGTGGTTGGTGGTGCGCGCAAAAAGAAAACTGCAGCGGAAACAAGCAAGAAGGAAAAAAAAAAAGAAAGAGCTCTGCCATGGCCCGGAATCGAACCGGGAGTAACGCGACCACAACGCGTAGTGTTACCATTACACCACCACGGCTCAAGCTCTTGCCGTTGCCGGGCAAATTTCGCATAGTTCATCTCTACCCGACACCCCCCACCTGGCCATTTCGTGTGATTTGAGAGAAGCAAAAAAGCAGAAGAGGAGGAACTTGCTGTTGTGATTTGACATGCACGTGATGCTTCCTTCTCTCCACACTCCACGCACCCACGTGTGTCTTCTTGTCTTGTCTTGCTTGTGAATGGTCTCTCTGTGTCTGTGCGTTGTATTCCCTTCCTTCCTTCTTTCATCCACACTCCCTTCCTACCACCGTCTCCTTCCTTCCCAGACGCATGGCGTCCGTCCTGCGAGCAGCGCCAGTGCTGGTGCTAGTGCTGGTGGCAGCAGCATGGAACCGATGTAACCTTCAGCAGCATGCATGCCCCTGCATGTGCGCGGCAGAGGTGGTGTTTGCGGAGGATGATGCCGGCGCGCTGCACATCAACACAAGCGACCCAATGAGCCAGCCCGTGCTGGTCAACGGCGTGAACATGGGCGCAGTGTTTGATGCGGTGGCGGCACAGCAGAGCATGCTTCAGGCATACCAGAGCGTGATGGACACGCAGCAGAGCAGGATCAGCATGCAGCAAAGCAGGATTGCGATGCAGCAAGACAGGATCGCCGCCCTGGAAGCGGAGGTGTGCAGCCAAAAGATGCAAACGCACACGGTGGGGCAATTGCAGTCCTCGCAGTCGGCGCAGTGGCTTGGCGGCGTTCTGGCGAACAACAGCGGCGTGATCTACGCTGCCCCGTTCAATGCCGATTCTGTCCTCCTTATTGACACGACTACAAACACGGTCGACGTCACCAGCATCGCGGGTTTTACGTCCGGTGGCGGCAAGTGGGCTGGGGCCGTGTTGGCGGAGAACGGGCTGATCTACATGTTTGCCGCTTCTGCCACAAGCATGCTCGTCGTCGACCCCGAGACCAATACTCCCGATACCACAAGCATCCAGGGGCTTGATTCCACGTCCAACAAGTGGTACAGCGGCGTGTTGGCGGATAATGGGCTCATCCTTGGCGTCCCGTTTGCAGCAGATTCTGTGCTGATTGTCGACACGACAAAAAACACAGCAGACACCAGCACCCTGAGCGGGCTGAGCGGTAGAAACAAGTGGTACGGCGGTATGCAGGCAGCCAATGGCCTCATCTACTGCATCCCGTGCAGTGCGACGTCCGTGCTCATCATCGACCCCATCGCGCTCACGCTCGACACCAGCACCATCCAAAACCTCAGTTCACAGTCGTTCAAGTGGTACGGAGGCGTGCTGGCGAACAATGGGCTTATCTTCACGATCCCCTCCACAGCAGACACAACGCTCGTCATCAACACGGCAACCGACACCACGGACACACTGGTTGTGTCAGACGTGACGGCAGGGGGCAAGTGGGTCGGCGGGGTGCTGGCGCCCAACGGAAACGTCATTGGCATCACGCACGGCGCAACAGCGGTGTTCATCTTGGACCCTGCGAGCAACACGACCGACACCAGCACCCTCGCTGGCTTCGCGGGGGATAATGCGAAGTGGATGGACGGTGTGTTGGCTCCCAACGGCCTTATCTACGGTATCCCCCACAACACCGACACCGTGCTCGTCGTCGACCCGGGATGCTGATGCCTTTGATTTTGATATTGGTGTTGATACACAGGCTCGGTGTTGGATGCGTGCGTGTGTGTGTGTGTGTGTGTGTGTGTGTGTGTGTGTGTGTGTGTGTGTGTGTGTGTGTGTGTGTGTGTGTGTGTGTGTGTGTGTGTGTGTGTGTGTGTGTGTGTGTGATTTACACCCATGCTCGCACAGCCTCCCAAGCTCGATACGCATTGACAGGACGGTTAGAGCGTCCATTTATTGCCTTTGTCCGAGCATGCCGTGCGCTAATGGTCAGGTGTTAGCCACGCCACTGGCCTTGCTCAAGCAAATAACAGGGCTGATGTGATTTGTAATACAACCAAGCCAGATACAGGTGCCATGATGTGACAATGTCCATCACAGACACACAACAGTGGTGGAACGAAAAGAAGAAACATCTATGCATGAAGGGGGGGGGGACTTGACAGGCAACGATGTGAGCGAGCAAACACGTGCACATATATGCACATGATGTAACCACGTACAGACATACATAAACACAGCTACAAGTGAAGCAAGCAAACTAGTGAAACAAACAAGGGCACCAAGCAAGTAAACAGACAGACACACACACACGAACACACACACACACACACACATACAAACAAACAAGTAGGCAAGCAACCAGAGCAACCGCCTACAGCAGCTTAAGCAGGTCGGCGACGGCGCGGGCAGCGCGGTGGAATGCGCGCGGGAACGCGTCGAGCAGGGCGACACCACGTGGCGTCTTCAGATGCGCATTGTTGGAGATGGCGTCAATCACAACGCAATCATCGCGCATGATGTAACCCAGGACGAGGCGTGCCGAGGGCGAGACGCCAAACACAGCGACGCCGGGCATGTCGGACCCGTTGGTGGTGGCCACGCTGTCGCCCAGCACGCAGCGAGAGGCGGGCGGGCGCGCACCCATCATGATGCGCATGAAGTGGTTGTGGCAGCACTGCATCAGGTCAAACGGCTCCGCAGTTGTGGTGGAGGTGGCGTCCTGCTCGCGTTGTGCCTGCTCGCCAAAGCCCATGAGGTAGTTCATGAGGACGGGCGGGCGCCGCTTGTGTGTCTTGATTCGCTCCTTGTGCACACGCGCGGCGCCGCGAAGCAGCAGGGCAGCCTTTGTGAGCTGCTGCTGCTGCTTCCTCTCCTCTCCAGCAGCATCGCTGTTGCCGCTGCTGTCGTCATTGCTGTCGCCTTCTTCCTGCCTTTCCTTCACATCATCACCACCATCGCCACCATCGCCACCATCAGCGTACAGGGCGTCCCTGGCTGCGACCACAAATGCGTCCATGAGAGCAGAGTTGGCGGTGATGACGATGTTACGGCCGTTGCGGAAGTGCCGCGTGCTCACCACCTCCGCCACCCCATTGAGATCGGGGATAGCCAGGTCGGCAAGTGCAAGCTGCAGCGTCGCCTGGAACAGCGCGTCGACAGAGAGGCCCTTTGCCCGCGCTGCATCCCGCCCAAAGGCGTCGGACACGATATGCCGCGTGCCCACCGCCGACGTGGCCGACACCCGGTCCAAGGCGAGTGCCATGCCCGCCTGCATAGCGCTGCGCACCTCATCGCTCCAGTCGTCAAAGCGCGTGCCTGCCGGTGGCGCGATGCGGTGCAGGTCCCCTGCCGTCGTCGGCGCCGTCAACGTCGATGGCGATGAGGAGGAAAGGGAGGACGCGAGCGTGTCTGCGTACTGGTACACGTGCGATGCGAAAAAGATGGCCGGTGTTCCGTCCATAAACACATGGTCAAAGGCAAATGCAGCAGTGGCGTCGCGGAGCACACACAGCGTGTGCTTGTCGCCAACAGCACCGCCTTCACTGCCTGAGCGAATGAACTCCATTGCGCCGTGCACAGGGTTCTCTGGAGACAGGGCCACGCTGTCCGCGCGAGGGAACAGGGCGACGGCAAAGTCTGCGTCCTGCACCTCGTCCCAGATGGCGTGCCACGTGTCATCGCTGCCCAGCGCCGCCATCAGGGTTGGACGCACCACATACGTCAGCTGGCAGAACCCAAGCTGCTGCTGCTGCTGCTGCTGCTGCTGCTGCTGCTGCTGCTGCTGCTCGTCGTTGGCGGCTTCCTTGCCTTGGCCGGGCTGCTGGGCCTCCTCTTCTTCTGCCTGGACAATGCGGGTGAGATCGGCGGCCACGTCGTCCGCAGTGGCGTCCGCGGGCACGCGAACCACGTACACGGCCGTGCCGCACGTCACTGCAAGCACAAGGTCGTCGGGGCACGAGCGACCACCGACGACGGTGGCGCTCTTCTCCACCATGTGCTCCTTGCCGTCCGCGCTGCCGCGGACACGGCGCATGGTCCACATCTCCACGAGGGGCTGCTTCGTCTGCCTGTGGCCGGCCAGCACCTCGTCCGGCAGGGTGTTGGTGAGGGCCTTGCGCTTCATCTCACGTATGCCGCACACCAGGGTGGCGGCACGCCACACCATGGGCGACCACGGCCCACAGGCGTGTGCAGCGATGTCCTTGCTCTCCTGGAACGAAGCCGGCTGCAGCATGGTGAAGAAGCTGATGTGGTGGAAGTTGGGTACGGGCAGCATCAAGAAGAACGCGCGCAGCAAGTCGCTGACAGCCTTCATTGTGATGCGCTTGGTGCCCTCGCCTTGCGCGAGGGCGTCACGGTATGGGGCCAGGGACTCCACGAACCACGTCGCTGCCTCCACAGGCATGTTCTCGCACGCGTGCACCATCAGCTCATCAAAGCTCGGGCACTGCCACTCGGGCAAGGCGTCATCGTAATCCATCGTGGTGCAAGCGAAGAGGGTTGTGAGGGGAGTTTCTGGAGTGGCAGTGCTCGTAGTGTTGGATGATTGGGAAGAGATCAACACTCAACCAGTGTTTTGCTGTGATGGGGCTGACACGATCTGATGTGAAGTGAGTGTGATGAAGACACAAACAATGTGAAGGAAGGGGACTGTACTCGCTACGCACACGCGCGCGCACGAATAGACAGGCGCAACACATGAAGCGACAACACATGAAAGTACACCTAGTCAAAAGCACGCAAAGCAAGACAGAAGACAGGAGAGCTGTCTCGAGGGGATGTTTGTGCAGGACCTAGACTTCATGTTGTATTCTAAACTACCTATCTCTGCCCAAGCAAGAGAGAACCCAAGAGTATCACATGCAGAGGACACACACACACACACACACACACACACACACACACACACACACACACACACACACACACACACACACACACACACACACACACACATCTGCACAAAAACACACACACATCAGCATCCTGGGTCGATGGCCAGGACAACCTCTGGGAAGAGCGGCAGGCCGTAGATGCGGCCGTTGGGGGCGAGGACACCGTCCCACCACCCGACGGGGCCTTCACCAACATCCGGCACAGCCACCATCGTGGTCGCGTTGGTGGCTGGGTTGAAGATGAGCGCGGGTGTCGAAGAGTAAGGGATGCAGACGATGTTGCCGTTGGCCGCCAAGGCGCCACCTGCCCACCTCGACGTGATGGTGCTGTTTGCGATGCGGATCATGTCAATGCTGTTGGTTGTCGGATCAATGACGAGCACGGTTCCAGCGCGTGCTGGAATGCCGTACACGAGCCCGTTCCTCGCGAGCACGCCACCCAGCCACTTGTATGCACCGGCCTCCAGCCCTTGGATGCTGGTGGTGTCCGCTGTGAGCGCGATGGGGTCAATGATGAGCACAAACGTCGCCGCAGATGGGAAGCAGTAGATGAGGCCATTGGCTGCCTGCACACCGCCATACCACTCAGTGCCGCTCCCAGAGAGCCCGTCCAGCGCAATGGTGGTGGTGATGTTGGTGGCTGGATCAACGATTAACACGGATGGGAATGCGTAGGGGATGGCGAAGATGAGGCCGTTGTCGGCAACCACACCGCTGGCCCACTTCAAGGCACCGCTGGGCAGAGAGTGGATGCTCGTGACGTCCACGTTGTTGGTCTCGGGGTCGACGACGAGCATGCTTGTGGCAGAAGCGGCAAACATGTAGATCAGCCCGTTCTCCGCCAACACGGCACCAGCCCACTTGCCGCCACCGGACGTAAAACCCGCGATGCTGGTGACGTCCGCGGTGTTGGTCGTGGGGTTGAGGATGAGGACAGAATCGGCATTGAACGGGGCAGCGTAGATCAAGCCGTTTCCCGCCAGTGCACCGCCCACCCATTTGTTGGAAGCACCACTCAACTGCCCAAACACGCTGGTGCTTGGTGTGCACACCTCCGCTTCCAGGGCGGCGATCCTGTCTTGCTGCACCGCAATCCTGCTTTGCTGCATGCTGATCCTGCTCTGCTGCGTGTCCATCACGCTCTGGTATGCCTGAAGCATGCTCTGCTGCGCCGCCACCGCATCAAACACTGCGCCCATGTTCACGCCGTTGACCAGCACGGGCTGGCTCATTGGGTCGCTTGTGTTGATGTGCAGCGCGCCGGCATCATCCTCCGCAAACACCACCTCTGCCGCGCACATGCAGGGGCATGCATGCTGCTGAAGGTTACATCGGTTGCATGCTGCTGCCACCAGCACTAGCACCAGCACTGGCACCAGCACTGGCGCTGCTCGCAGGACGGACGCCATGCGTCTGGGAAGGAAGGAGACGGTGATAGGAAGGGAAGGAAGGAAGGGGGAGACGGTGGTAGGAAGGGAGTGTGGATGAAGAGAAGGAAGGAAGGAAGGAAGGAAGGGAATACAACGCACAGACACAGAGAGACCATTCACAAGCAAGACAAGACAAGAAGACACACGTGGGTGCGTGGAGTGTGGAGAGAAGGAAGCATCACGTGTATGTCAAATCACAACAGCAAAGTTCCTCCTGTTCTGCTTTCTTGCTTCTCACACAATCAGAAACACACAAAATGGCCAGGTGGGGGGGTCGGGTAGAGATGAACTATGCGAAATTTGCCCGGCAACGGCAAGAGCTTGAGCCGTGGTGGTGTAATGGTAACACTACGCGTTGTGGTCGCGTTACTCCCGGTTCGATTCCGGGCCATGGCAGAGCTCTTTCTTTTTTTTTTTTGGTTGGGTGGTTTTGAGCGCGGAGCGAACACACGCACGTTGTTCATTTATTGGAGAGCGGTTGTTGCATTCACAGGCCGTTGAGGCGTTGCTTACACGACTACAGCTCCCCACTCGATACACCGACGACCACCATAATAACCACACTTGGCGCATTGGGCACCGCTCCTGCTTGTGGACATCGTGACCATGGTACGTCAACGTGTCGGCCGCGCTGCCTGCTCGTGCGATTGCCTCCCTGCCTGCTCCGCTGCGCTTCGTTCATTGCTGACCTTGCGTTTGTACTCGTGTTTGTGTTTGCTTGTGCGTGCGTGTTGTTCCGACGACGTGGTGCTGGGGTGACTTTGTTTGAACGGGGATAGGCGTGGCAGCCCTCACAGTATGAGGATGACTGGTACACGCCTCCACCCATGCTGGATGCCAGTGGAACGACGCAGGTTCGTACACATCCTCTGCCTGTGGTTGTGGCGCCATCCCCGCTGTACCATGAGCACGCGCGCCCATCCACTGACTCTTACTTACTCACTCACATACTCTCTCGCTCTCTTTTTCTCTTTCACACACACTCTCACATACTCATATACATGTGACAGGGCCATGACAGCTCGTGGGTGATGGGTGGTATGTTTCACCCCTTTGTCGTGCAAGACCCCATGCTGCCATACCAGCAGCAGCAGCAGCAGCAGCAGCAGCAGCAGCAGCAGCAGCAGCAGCAGCAGCAGCAAGAAGCCTTGCTCCCTGACCGTCGTGTCGGTTGGTCTGGGATGCCGCCAGCACAGCAATACTGTCAGCCGTTTCCACAACAGCCGCAGCCGCAACTTGAGCAGCCTGACGCCTCACGCTTTGACAACATTGTCATCCCGCCATCACAGACCTTGCAAGAGGCGATGATGGCACCGAGTGAAGACGTCACCACAAGCGCAGCCACCACCACAGCCCCTCAAAACAGCAGCGACAATGGCATGTATGACATGGCAACGGTGTTTGACAGCAGCCTGCACCTGTCGGATCCGTGGCCAGCGCACATGTCAAGCACCGGGGCGTTTCTGACGACGCCGGAAGCAGACGTGACGCTTCCCCCGTTAATCGACACCCACCCTGAGCCGATACAGCACCACCAGCAGCAGCAGCAGCAGGAACAGCAGCAACATCAGCAAAAGCAACAGCAGCAGCCGGCCAAGTCGTGGGCAGCCGTGACGAAGAAGAAGCAGCAAACGAAGAAGACAAAGAAGGCAGCGCGGCAACAAGACAAAGGTCACGTGTCCACACCGTGTCGCACACCAACACCGCCTGTCGCAGACACCAGCCACCAACACGGCAGCAATCACCAGCAAGCGGCTTGGCTCCAACAGCAGAAACGCGCTGAACCTCCCATCACAGCTGGCCCTGCAATAGGTGGTGTGCACCAGCATCCGCTTGCGTCAACGATGACGCCACCGCAGCCACGACTCGACCCCAGCGCAGTGGGCCGCGCGCCAGCACCGGCGCAGCTGCGGGCACCAATACAGCCAGCCACCGTCACCAGCACGTCCGTTGCTGTGCCTGTGCCACCGCCTGCGCTAACATCTCACACGCTTCCCGTGTCATCATCGCCACTGCCATCGTCCGCAGCAGTGTCAGCGGTGGCCGCCAGCACAACACCAGCTTCAACGGGTGCGCCTGGTCTCCCGCCACTGCCCTCGCTCTCCAATATGGTGGTAGACACAGTAGGCACGCGCAATGCAGCGACATCAACAGCGACGCGAACACGAATCAGAGGAGTAGGACGCGGGGGAGCAACGATGACAGGACCGCAAGGACAGCAAGGACCGCAAGGACCGCAAGGACCGCAAGCACAGCAAGGACATGTCAAAGACAAGGGCAAGAAGAAACTAAACAAGGAGCAGCAACACCAGCAGCAACAACACCAACACCACCACCAGCAACAGCGAAAACAGCAGCAGCAGCAGCAGCAGCGAAAACAGCAACAGCAAAGAACTGGCCAGGGAAGAAGCCATGTGCCACATGCCCCGTCGGGTAAGGTGTGGGGCGGCAACAGCGTCGCCGTCGTTGGCCGCGCTGAGCGAACACCGACACCAACAACACCAACAACAGCACCAACAACAGCAGCAGCAGCAGCAGCAGCAACACCGGCGGCTGCTACAAACCGACGGCCACGACTGCGACCACCACCATCCAAACACACGTCCAAGAACACGTCGAAACAGCCGCAGCAGCAGCAGCAGCAGCCGCACGAGACTGATCATGCTCGTGCCAATGACAGTGTTGGTGGCTTCGATGGTGACGTGGACACGAGCGGGCGGTTGGTGCCGGTTGCGTCGAAGAAAGGGAAGAGCACGACACCACGTGCGTTTCGCTTCAAACACGCGCGCGGCGAGCTCATCACGCGTGCCATGTGCCAGATGGTACAGCATGGTGACACGACCAAGTACAACCCGCCGCACACGCCGCCCATGCCACGCGGCACGCGCTTCTACGTCATCCGCTCGTTTGGGGAAGACGACGTGCACAAGAGCGTCAAATACAACATCTGGACGTCGACTGCGCGTGGCAACGGCGTGTTGTCACGTGCGTTTGTCGACGCGCGACCCAACCCAGTGTATCTTCTCTTCTCTGTCAACCGCAGCTCACAGTTTGTGGGCATTGCGCAGCTGCTGAGCGTGTGCGACCAGACGCGCGAGTGCGGTGTGTGGTCCACGCCGCGGTGGAGCGGGGAGATGAAGGTACGATGGCTGTATGTCAAGGATGTGCCGTCGAGGCTTGTTGAGCACCTCAAGCTCAAGGCCAAGATGCGTGGCGGGCAGGTGGAGGTGCGCCCCATCAGCAACGTCCGTGACGTGACCTCTGTCCCCTACGACATTGGGTGCGAGTTTGTGAACATTTTTGCGTCGTACACTGCTCGCTCGAGCATCTTTGATGACTTCCCTGCCTATGATGAGGAAGAGGCCCGGCGTGATCGCCAGCGCAACCGCCAGCCGGGCGTCACCCCGCGCTGACGCTGTGTGGCGCAGGGGGTGGGGTGGGGGTGATTGTGTGTAAGCATGTGTACTTGTGTGCGTGTGTGTGTTTGTGGTCTGTGTGTGTAAGCATGTGTACTTGTGTATGTACTTGTGAGTGTGTGTGTGTGTGTGTTGGTGTAGTCGTTTGGACCGGTATTCACATGTGCAAGCGAGCACAATGTTCTCTGTTTGCGAGCACGCTGCCGCTTGCCAGTAAACAACTTGCAGTGTGACCGAATTGTTGCGACAAGTGCCTGAATCACTCTCATCCAACCAAAGCTGTGTGTCTGAATTGTGTAATGGACGACCCGCCCAACAACGCGCGCATACGGCAGCTGTGTGCATGGGAAACAACACCGTTAACAACCGATGTGACACTCTCAGAGGACAGGAAACAGCAGTGCAAAGAGAAGGAGGAGCGCCTACGAAACGTCAGAGACAAAGAAGCACACACACACACACACTCACACACACACACACACACACACACACACACACACACACACACACACGCACTCACCCACACACGCACACACTCACACGCACACTCACACACTTGCTAATCAGAAGGCAAATGCACGAACACCTACACGCATATGAGGATGGCATCACTTTCCCATTTGTGATCCGCGCTTCTCTGGATGCATCTCAAAGTACAGGTTGACCTTCTTCTTGAACTCCCGCTGATAAATCCTGACACACGCCGCATTCTGATAGAACAGCAAAGAGGCGCAAGCAAGACAGAGTCAGGGCAGGGAGAACATGGTGAGCATCGTACAAGGAGAGGAAAGAAGGGCAGGTGGTGAAAAGTGCTGGGCGAACAGAAGCAACTTGCATGTTGGGGGAGGGGTTGACATAAGCTCACAAGAACACAGTCAGGCACACGCTGAACATTCAAAGCATACGCATTCACGAGTACACAAGTGGGCACAGGTTGAACGTACAAACGGTTGAATACACACACAGAAACAGACAGACAGACAGACACACGCATGCACGGACACACACGGACACACAAACAGACAGACAGGCAGACAGACATACAGACCCACGCATGTACGGACACACACGGACACACAAAGACAGACAAACAGACAGACAAACAGACAGACACACGGACACACAGACAGACACACACCTCTTCTTGTCGTCGGCGCTCAAAGGGTGGTGTGTATCGCTTGCGGCCGATGAGCGAGGAGATGACACCATTGTTCTTCAAGCCACGTGTGATCTTGGACAACGCCGTCAGCGCATCCTCCGGCCGTTTTGCAACGGCAAGCCGCACCGTGTTGGCCACAAAGCGTGGATGCCTCATCGTTGTGTGCGTGTGCGTGTGTGTGTGTGTGTGTGTGTGTGTGTGTGTGTGTGTGTGTGTGTGGGTGTGGGTGGGTGCTGGCGTCACGTTGCCTCTTCTTACTGGCTCGTCTTCGTCGTGGCGGATACGGAAAAGTAGATGGCATCGTACATGGATTTCGGCAATTTGAGGCACACGACACCAACACACAGCACAGCACACACACAATAATGGAGGCGTGCACTGTGGCCAAGTTGCAGGAGCGGGTGCAGCGTGCACGTGCTTTCCTTGAACGGGAAGATGTGCAGAAACTGGTGACGCTGTACATGGTGGAGACTTTTACCCACGACCACCTACATTCCAGCATTCCATCGACATGGCTGGCAGCTCTTCTCTCAGCCTCCCACGATCAAGTGAGCATGGGGGTTGTTGCTTGGTGGTGTTGTTGTTTTGTTGGTGGTGGTGGTAGTAATGTGCCCTTGTGTGTGTGTGTGTGTGTGTGTGTGTGTGTGTGTGTGTGTGTGTGTGTGTGTGTGTGTGCGTGTGTGTGTGTGTGTGTGTGTGTGTGTGTATGTTTGCTTGTTGCCACTTGGGGCTGCTTAGCACTCAATCCTCGTGTGGCTGTGTTTTTTTTTTTTTTCACTCCACTTACCATCCACACACACGCACACACACACACACACACACACACACACACACGCAC